GGAACAGGGAGCCTGATGCGGGGCTTGATCCCAGGACTCCGGGATCATGACCTGAGCTGAAGGCAGACGCTTAACAACTGAGCCCCCCAGGCGCCCCTGGTTGCTTGTTTTTTACTGTTTGTTGTTTATTGTGCTTAATTGTTGGTAAATGTTTTGAGAAGTGTTTTTATACTAGATACTGGTCATTTGTCACATATTATGTTGCAAATATTTTCTTCTGGTCTGTAACTTCCCTTTTCATCCTCTTAAGGTCTTTCCCAGAGCAAAGCTTTTTTTGATGAAGTCGGTTTATCAATTTTTTTCCCTTTATAGGTAATGCTTTTGATATCAAAGCTAGGAACTCTTTGCCTAGTTTTAGATCCCAAGATTTTTTTTTCCTAGAAGTTTGGTAGTTTTACATTTAAGTCCCTGATCCATTTTGAGTTAATTATCCCATGAAAATGTGGGAGGTTTGGGTGGAAATTACGGTTTGTTTTGTTTTGTTTTTGCCTTGAGTTGCTCAATTGTTCCAACACCATGTGTTGAAAAGACTGCTTTCTCCATTGAATTGCTTTTGCTCCTTTGTCAAAAATCACTTGGCATATTTGTATGGACCTATTTCTGGGTTCTCCATCCAGTCCCACTGATCTGTATGTCTCTCCTGCCATTATCACATTCCGTTAATTACAGTAGGCCTTAATATCAGATAGAGTGCTTTCTCCCGCTTCATTTTCTATTTTCAAGATTGGCTTAGCTATTCTAGGGCCTCTGCCTTTCCACATGTATCGTAGAATAAGCTTGTCTGTGTCTATTAAAAAAAGAAAATCTTGCTGGGACTTTGATAGCAATTGCATTAAACCTATAGATCATTTTGGGGAGAATTGACATCTCTATATATCGAGTCTTCCAGTCCATGAACATGGTATGTCTTTATTTCCATCTTCTTTGATTTCTTTATCAGCATTTTGCATTTCTCAGCAGACAGACCTTGTATGTGTTTTGAGTTTATACTAAGTATCTTATTTTCCTTAGAGCAATTGTAAATGATACTGTGGTTTGTTTTTTCAGTTTCCACATGCTGCTTGTTCATATACAGCAATTGAATTGATATTTCTGTCTTGATTTTGTGTCCTGTAACCTTGCTGAATACACTTAATGGTTCTAAGGCTTTCCTATAGATTTTTTGGGATTTTCTACACAGATCATCATGTTCCTTGCAAATAGGGACAGTTTTATTTCTTCTTGAGGCATGCTTTTTATTTCTTTTTCTTGCCTTACCACAGTGACCAGAACTTCTGGTATTATGTTGAATGAGAATGGTGAGAGGCATATGGTCTGTTTCTTTCCTGTGTTGGTGATTTGTGTCTTTTATTTTTGTCAGTCTTCTTAGAGGTTTATCACTTTTATTTTTTTCCCCCCTGAAGAACCAGCTTTTTATTTCATTATCTTTATGGCTTTCCTCTTTTCAATATCATGTGTTTCTGTTCTTATTTCCTTCTTCCTTTGGGTTTATTTTGCTCATTCTTCCCCTAGTTTCTTGAGGTAGAGCTTTGGATTATTTATTTGAGGCCTTTCCTCTTTTCTAATGTAAGCATTTTAAGTGCTATAAATTTCCCACACAGGACTGTTTTAGCTGTGTCCACATATTTTGATATGTTTTAACTTTTATTCAGTGTCATGTGTATTTTATTTCTTTTCAGATATTTTCTTTGACCCATGGATTATTTAGAACTGTGTTGTAGTTTCCAAGAGTTTACAGATTTTCTTATCTTTCTGTTATTGATTTCTATGACTTTATTAAGGTCAGAGAACATATTTTATATGATTTTCAGTCTTTTAAATACTTAAGCTTTGTTTTATGGCCCAGAATATGGTCCATCATGGTATATATTCTGTGGGGCTTTGTTGGTGAATGTTCATGGACACTTGAACAAAATGTATCTGTTGTTTGGTGGAGTTTTCTACACATGACAGGTAATGGTGTCGATGGTGGTGTTGAGTTCTGTATTCGTACTGATTTTCTGTTTAGTATTTCTGTCAGTTGCTGAGAGTGAGGTGTTGAGGTCTCCCAACTATAACTGTGGATTTGTCTATTTCTCGTATCAATTTTTGTTTCATGCATTTAGAGACTGTGTTGTGTGGTATATAAACATCTAGGATTATTATGACTTCCTGGTGGATTGATTCTTTTGTCATTATGTAATGCCCTTTTTTGTCTCCAGTAATTTTCTTTGCTCTCAGGTCTACCTTATCAGATATTTTAGTATAGCCACCCTTTTTTTAAAAAATGAATGTTTTCATGTTGTGTATCTTCCAATCCCTTAAACCTACCCACATTGTTGCTGTGAAATGAGTTTCTTGTAGACAGCATATTGTTACATCATATTTTTTTCTGTCAATCTTTATTAATATGCATATTTAGGCCATTTACATTTAAGGTAAGGTAATTGATATGTTAGGGCCTAAATTTCCCATTTTGTTATTTTTCTGTTTCTTTTACTTTACTGTGGGTTATTTAAACATGTCTTAGGATTCCGTCTTGATCAATTGGTGGTTGATCTTTGAGTATATCAATTAAAGCTTTGTTTACCTTTCTCGGTTGCTCTGGGTTTATAATACACATGCAGAGCTTACCCCAGTGCACTGGCGTCAGTGTTTTACAGCTGTGGGTGAAGTGTGGGAGCTTCCATTTAGATCCTTTACCCTCCCCGCTTCTTAAATACACAGTTTTAAGTGTTTATTATTATACTTTGAGTCCCACATCAGATGGTTTTATGTCAGTCATCAAATATGATTTAAGAAAATTGTGAGAAGTAGGATGGTTTGTTATATTTATCCCTATTTTTACCTGCTCTGATGGTCTTTTTTTCCGCTGAGGTTCTGAGCCTTCTATTACCCTTTCCTTTCCGTTCAGAGAACTTCCTTTAGCCATTCTTAAGGGTGGCCTTGCTTACAACGAATTCAGCTTTCCTACATCCAAGAATGTCTTTATATCCCCTTCGTCATTGAGATCTCTTTGCCAGTTATAGAATTCACAGTTGACACATTCTTGTACTTGAAAAATGTGCCTTATTCTTGCCTCCCTGGTTTCAGATGAGAAATCCACTGTCATTTGAATTGCTTTTTCTCTGAAAGTAAATGTGTCCTGTCTCGCTAGTTGCTTTTAAGATTGCTCACTTGTCCTTCAGTTTCCAGAGTTGAACTATGATTTGTCTGGATATAGGTTTCTTTCAGTTTATTATGTTTAGGGTTTGCTCAGTTTCTCAAATCTGTACATTTGTGTCTTTTGCCAAACTTGGGAAGTTTCCGGCCGTTATTTCTTCAAATACTTTTCAGCCCCACTCTTTGTCCCCTCCCTCTGAGACTCTGGTGATAGGAGGGTCAGTGGCTCTTATTACTGACTTCTAGGTCCCTGAGCCTCTGTTGCCTTGTTGAGTGGGATGTGACCTCAGTTGCCCCTGCCCTGGCTGATCCCGGGAAGTATTAGGAGCAGCAGAGTGGCAACCAGCCCAGCCTCCCACCCCCTTTTCCTGCCCTTTGGGACTTGAGTCAGGGTGGAGGCTCCTCTCCCCAATGACGCCACCCTGGTCGGGGAATTGGAGCACCTCCCGCATTTCCAGGCGGGGTTAGGAGAAGAGAGCCTTGCTTGGCCCTGCCAACATTACCTAGGCCACCTGATACTTCTTGGTTCTGCAGGGCAGGAAAGGGAACTAGGAGATCAGCTTTTCTTTCAACCCTGCTGAAACCTCAGTGGGTGATATGTGCAGTTTTTCTGTTGGTATTTGGCTAGAATGGGGTAGGTGTTGCCCAAACAGTTTTCTGTTGTTAAGACCACCCTTTTCCCAGCCCTTCTGCTGGGAAGCTTTTCTCAGAGCTCTTTCCATCTGCACCTTTTGGCTGTTGCAGCTTGGAGGCTGGGCAGCACCCTGTCCTGGACAGGTCGGCAGTGTGGATACCTGGGACTCCCCGTCACGTGGTTGCTCAGGTCCTGAAATCCCAGGCAGCCTGCCTTCTTGTCTCCACTGTCTTTCCTGCGCTTGCTTGTTGTGTTCTGTCCAGAGCGTCCTTAGTAATAAGGGAGAGGCCCAGGAGGAATGGGGCTGCTCCGTCTTGGCAGAACCAGAAGTTCCCATCATCCCTTTTGATTCCAGGTCCAGGACTCCTCCTTCAGGACCACAGTTGTGCCTGAATTTGAACCTGTCATTTCTTTGACTTCGTCACCTCATGCTACCCTCTGCAGGGATTATTTGAATCTCTTCGTTGCTTTGACCTCTGTAAACATTCCCACTTAGACTACTTATTCATTCTTTTCATTTATATAATCTTAAAGATGCTAGTCTCTCCCTCTCTGTGTAGGCTGTCCCTGAAGTTTGTGTATGTCTTGTTTCAGAACCTGTGTGATAATGCCTCTGGTGATGGCAGGGGCCTCGGCATTTGTGTGGAAGGCTTCAGACCAGCTTGGCTTTATCTCCCAGGGTCTCCACCGCCCCCCCATCCGTACTTTGAGGAGCCAATTGTGAGGACCAAATCCCACATCCCATTGGAAGTAGATACGATGTAAGCCATTTGAAAAGTTAGCATCTGTTCCATGGACAGGGAATCCCAGTACCATACACACAGTTGTGTGAGTGTATCCTTGTGGGGATGATTTAGAAACCTTGTGAAGAGTGGGATTGTTAGAATTAGTGGTCTCCTCTTGACACTGAAACAAAAAAATTCAACAAATGCTTTTTGACCATATACCCAAGGTGATGTGCTCCGCGCTGGTGGGGAAGGGGTTAGTTAATGGTGTATCCTGCCCAGTGTCTACCCTTCAGGTGCTCTGGCTAGCTGGGAGGACAGTTGCACTCTTTTTTTTTTTTTTTTTTTTTTTTTTTTTTGACAGTGGGCAAAGCTTTGTATTTTTGACTTAAGGAACCACAAATGTTCAGAGCCATTTTTGGTGTCAGTTTGGTTGTTCTGGGTGAGGATTCTCCACAGCCATGACTGCGGGTTGAGCACATGCTCTCCTTAACGGTTATTACAAGAGTCCCGCGGACCGTCAGCTAACAGAGCAGAAAGAATGGTGGGGGCCGTTGAAATCAGCCCCGGGAAAGAGGTCGTCGATTTTTCATTGACAAAGCAAATCAAGCTTCCTAATTAGCTACAACATGGCTGGAAAGCTCAGCTCCTACTAGCCTGCAAGCCCTTGCTCTCTGCTTGTGTGACGCTCAACAGCCCCTGAACACAGTAGCTGCTCTTGCTGCCTCACTCGTGTTCAAAGAACTCGTGGCAGGCGGTGGTAACCATGGCAACGAAGGCCATAAATTCCTGGAAGTCACATTCGCCGTCTCCATCACTGTCCAGAGTTTCCATGACTTTATCCACGACCTCCTGCTCTTTGATTTCCTCTAAAAAATGGGAGAGCTCATTGTTGATGAGCTCCTTGAGTTCCGATTTCTTCAGCTTGTGCTTGTCACCCTCCCTTCCGGAATACTGATGGAAAACATCAATGAGGGCCACCATGGCCTTCTCCAGCTCAGACATCGTCAGTGGCTCCTGCTAGCTGCTCCCGTCCCTCCTGGCGGCCGCGTCCAGAGTGGGACAGTTGCACTCTTTAATATAAAGTCTGAATGTAGATCGTGTTAAATGCCATTGTAAAAGGAGACAGGTGGCTTGGTGAGAATAGGGAAGATTAATTCTGGCTGAGCTACCTGGAAAAGCCTATGAAGGAAGTGTGATTTGTGCCAGCCCCTGAAGGCTCCATGGCTTTTTAGCAGGTGGAGAGGAACATACACATGAGACTATCTCAATGCCCCGTGTTTCTACCAGTTAGGTCAGAGAATTCTAATAGTATGGAGTAGTAAGAAGGAGTGTAGGAGCCAGACGGAACTTTCTAGTGCGGAGGACCGGTCATCATGCAATGGGTGGTAGAGGCCTTGGTCAGGATACTCTTTATCTAAAAGCCATGGACCTTCTCCCTAGAAAGTTCGTACACATGCACATAGTTTAAAGGGGTCCCTTGCCATCCTAAGCCTCAAAGTGGGCCTACTTACACTCTATGGACTGCAGGTTAAGAAATTTTGTGGTGGAATATCTGATTATGGTAAATTTCTGTAAATAAACTTTTTTAGGATTGCTTGCTGTGTCATTACTTTTTGCAAAGGTGAATAGGACTTTGAAGAAGCCTCCACTGCTGTTCTGTATATTTTTTTTTTTTTAAGATTTTATTTGACACAGAGAGCGACAGCGAAAGAGAGAGCACAAGCAGGGGGAGTGCGAGAGGGAGAAGCAGGCTTCCTGCGTAGCAGGGAGCCTGATGCGGGGCTCAATCCCAGGACCCTGGGATCATGATCTGAGCTGAAGGCAGACACTTAATGACTGAGCCACCCAGGCGCCCTGCTGTTCTGTATTTTTAAGCACTTTGAAACCCCTGGCCTGCAAAGTCTTTATTTCTTGGGTTCAGAACCCCTTTGTGCTTGATGCTACAGTGGGTTTGCGTGAGAGCAGAAGCGTAAATGCACTTCCATGGTCTGGGAGAACAGTTGGGATTTTACTGCCTTGTTGGCTAATTGCATTTAAGTAAGTAAATTTACTTTTACACCTGGACACACATGGTTGGTCCTTTGATAATACCAAGAAAAAAAAAATCTCTTTTTCCATTGGTTCACAAAATCCAGAGGCCCCTCTGGCCCTTGTTGGGGATTCATGACACATGGACGGTTGGTGTTCCTCTCCAGCTTGCAGGCTGACATGTTGGTTATTTTAACCGAACCGATTTTAGGGGAGTAGTTTTGACCCTCAGTTATCTGTCATGTGAGATCTGAAATATAGCTGTGCTTGATGTTAGACGGTGTTCTGTTGACAGCTCATAATTATTTTCTGTTATTACCTAGTCGAGGACATGGATCTTATCGCTTGTAAATGGAACTGAAGATTCGTACTTAAGGCTTATCTGGAGATGTAATTACAGGGCGATCTTCAAACCAACAAAGCTAATGTGTGATGGACCTGGCATTTGACTTGCATCACCCGGAGGGTGGTGCCCTCCCTTCAAGACACGTGGCTTTATTTCCTGTGCTAACTCTTGTAGTTTATATTTCAACAATTAGTGGTCCTCTTCGCCTCTGCCCAGTGGGCTGGACAGAGCAGCTGCTTAGTTTTACCTGATGGCCCTTCGAGTGAACAGAATATGAAGAATAGTTGCTGACCACGTGGTTAGCTTTTTTGAATGATTCTTTTGTGCATGAAGAGGTTTGTCTGTGTCCATTGGGGTACATGTTCAGGTGGGCCCAGGCACATTGGGGTATGGAAAGGAAACCCAGTTAGCATTCTGCAGTATGTGTCGGGAAGCCAGTACTTCTGCCTTGGTTCGGCATGCTGGGTCCATCTGGAACTTGTGCTCTGGAAGTGCCGTGTCTGTAGGACAGAAAAGGAAGAGTTAACTCTTGGGAGTATTTGCAAGTGGGTAGAAAGGAGCTGGAGAGCAGCCCTGCAGTTGTCCGGGATGCCGAGAAAGTGTTCCCCACCCCTGTTCTCTTCAGCAGAGGCTAAGTAGACAGCATCTCTCTCTGAACTTGGGCATCTGTTTTACTGTCTAGCCTAAAACCATGGCACCAGCTTTGCCTAATGGCTCCATTACATCAAGACTCAGCAGGGAAGACTGATCTTAATGAATATTGACTGGTGTTAGCCAGTGAACCCAGGCCTTAGGGAGTCAGTTCCTGAAACTGAGTTGAGCAGAAACGAAGCCACCAGAACAATGATTCAGAATCTGTGTCCTGTGCAGTGTTAATATTGTCATTGCCTTGGTGGAAGGTTCTGGGGATTGTGCGTGGTATGTGTTCCATCCAGCCCTTGAGTGCGTGTCTGGGGCAGTCAAAGGGAGCTTCCCTTTGCTGTACCCAGGGAAGGCCGGGATAGATGTCAGGGCTGCAGCAAGACCTGCTCCTGACTTTCAGAGCCAGGCCCTTTGCTGTGCTGTGTACACGGCGGTGAGTCCTTTTACAGTGCTTACCTGCCCAGTTGGCTTGTGGGGGCAGGAAGCACAGGGGAGGGCAGGGCAGGAGAGGGGACATCGCTGGTTAAGTCACTGGAAGGGTGGGAGTCCCAGCCTAGCTAAAGGAGGCCATCACAATTGTCTGCAGGATGTGTGATGAGATTCATCGGGACTCGTGTCTGGGACAGATCAGCAACCGGGCTGCTGAGAAACCTGTAACAGGCAGTTCAGTGCTGGGTGCTGGTCCAGGGGCACTGGTCCACGACAGCTGTGGAGCCCTGTGTGGTGCCGAGTACCGACCTTTTCAGGATAAGATGGTGCTCATATTTGTGGACAAGTTACACAGCATTCCTGGCAAAAGACTCGACGTTTACCGAGGAAGGAGAGGGAGTGATTATTTAAACTCTCACCTTGCTGCTGGTTTCTGTTACAGGTGAAAGGAAGTAGCTGCTTCAGAAGTTTGTTTTTGGAGTTTTTATTTTATCTTTAAGATTTTTTTTTTTAATTTGGGAGAGTGAAAGAGCAAGAACAAGAGCGAGAGAGTGAGCGCGTGAACGGGCGAGGGGCAGAGGGAGAGGGAGAAGCAGACTCCCCGCTGAGCAGGGAGCCCGATGCGGGGCTCCATCCCGGGACCCTGGGATCATGACCTGAACCGAAGGCAGACGCCTAATCGACGGAGCCACCCAGGCGCCCCTCTTTTTGGAATTTTCATAACACACGATGTTTAATCTGTGTTTTCCATCAATACCAGTTCTGTATCTGCAGTTGTTGGCACTTGGGATGACCCCAGACTCTATATTTGCAGCCACTTAGATGTTTTCTCAAGGAAATGAAGCTCCATAATTCTTGTTTCAGGATGGGGAAGGGAGGGTTTTCCCCTAGGACTCTGACGACTCGATTAGAGACCTGTAGGTTGAAAAGTCTAGGTGTGGAGCCACGTGGGAAAGGAAACCTTCCCTGAGAGGTTAGCTGGTCAGGATTGAGAGATGGAAGATTGGCTCTTTACCTTATCAGTACATATTGATAGAAGTATAAAGAAGTACGATTGTGTTTTTAAACAAACATGCCAGCACCACCAGAATGTCCTACTTCGAGCAGATGTCTTGTTAAAAGTAATCATCTTGGAAGCTGAGCTGACAGATCCTAGTGAAGTGTGTGTTTATGTGGGAGATGCTGCAGAAGCCGTGAGGATGGGCCCTAGAAGGAAGAATACCTTCCCTTTGAATTGGGAGCTTTGGTTTTTGTGTTTGAGGCCCCTTCTCTCTTACCTCCTTTGGTCCTAAGTAATCCTGTAAAGTCAGGTTGGGGGTTTTACTTTGGTTTGGGGGGGGGGCGGTTTCAGCTCCAGTACTTTCTTGCCTTCCCTCCCCAGCCTCCTGTGCTCATGGGAGGAGGAGGAGGGAGCAGCTGGACCAGTGAGTTTTGGAGAAGGGAGGATGTGCTGGTCTCTGGCCCTCAAGGGTCCCTCCTCTGGAGCCACCCTGCTCACAGGGAGCTAGCATTCCTGTTTCGGGGGCTTAGCCATAGGGGCGGTCCCCCCTGTGTCTGTCCAGCCATGCCAGAGAGTGCTAACTGCTCACCGGTTTGTGGAAACGTTAAGGGCTTGACAGGACCTCGGAGTCCCTAAGTTTCTGCCCTCCCCACTGTGTCCCTCACGGGGGCACTTCAGCGCTTCCTTAAGCAGCTCTTATGCCGGGGAGCTCACCCGGGCTGCCCCTCCCTTCTGGCCCTGCTTCTCGACACTGAGTTGTTACAGGTGGCCCTGAAACGCGTGGAACCATTTGACATAATGTTCTGTGGAGCCCACAAGCGACAAACCTTCCTTCTACGTGATAGCTTTCGACTTCTTTTATTTATTCAACAGATTCCCTGCATACTGCAGAAATAACTAAGAACAAAACCGAGTTCTCCTTCCCCCTATGGGTAGAGCTGCCATTAGCCCCGCACTGTGTCTTCATAATCCATGTACTTTGAGTTGGGGACTCTGTGATTTGAGGCTGGAAGCACATGAATCCGGAAGGCAGGAAGGCACCAGCTCTGCAGTGAGCTGGGAGAAAAGAATTCAGGCAGAGGAATTAAAGAGCATGGGAGCAGATGCCCTGAAGCAGGAAGGCAAGAAAGAAGCTGGCTGTTAAGGAATCGAAAGAAAGCACTCTCGAAGTGCTGGGTACAAGGTGGAAGAGAACCTGGTCAGATCTGGCTGGGCCGCCTTGGCCAAGGTGATTCCGGTGGGAGTGGGCAGCAGTTGCAGAGTTGGTGAGCAGGAGACTGCCTTGATTCTCTTGTGAAATGACCTTTCTGGGGCAGGATGTGAGGTTGGAGCAGGTTCACAGGACCTTCTCCCGTTACCTGAAGGGGTATACATATACACATATGTGTGTATCTATTTAAAAATAATCTTACATGTGAATATGAAAAAATTCAGGAGTAATCAAGAAAGGGAAAGAGGCCTTATTACACAGGTAGGTTGAACTGTATGAAATTCTGATTTTTGACCTACAAAAATGGCGGTTTCATATGGTCCAACCTAATGTTTCAAAAACACTGCAGCCAAAGGCAAAAAGATGATTCTCAGGCCG